AAGATAATAATATGCTCATACAGTTTGATATATTGCTGTAATAAACTACTTATCCACCCAGTAGTATGCAAGAAATCCTAAATATGTCTAACATTGACGATCATTTAAATGTTTATAAGCATTCGTTTCTGATAAAAATACAATAATAAAATAACGGTGTGGAAGGAGACATTCTGCATTATGAAAGCTTTTGATACATAAAGTACATTTTTATTTCAGTATTAACTATTATAAGAAAATATTATTTATAATTTTGCTCAAGTTGAGGATCCGGGTACTTCTTCTAACTCTGGTCAGAGAGGAAAACATTTAATTAGCAGCTGAATAATAATAATAAAAACTCTTCTGCTTCAAACAGCACAGAGTTCAGTGGGAAGACATTTTGTTAAGATATTTGTTTCCTCTGTCCTTCTTTAGGACGGACGCGTGTTCATCTGGACGTGTGACGACCCGGCTGGAAACACCTGGACGGCTAAACTCCTCCACAAGTTCAACGATGTGGTTTGGCACGTCAGCTGGTCCATCACCGGAAACATCCTGGCTGTTTCAGGAGGAGACAACAAGGTACAATATACACAGTTATATATATATATATTTATACTTCCTTTATCCAGGTAAAAGCAACTGGACCATGTTTCTTTGATCTGACAAGTATAACTTTCAACATACTATGTTCTCATTCATATCCACTTTTGCATTTACTAACATACAAACACATTCATGTATACACACATTTCATTAAGTACATTTACTATTTACATTTCAGCTAATCAAAGCAGATACAACTTTATGTATACAGCACTTTTCATACACAAAATGCTGCACAAACCAAAAGCATAGACACAAATGTAGACAATACTAACCCCCCATTCCCAGGAAATACTAATAATAGAGTAACACATAGCTGTGTGATCAATAGGAACACTAAATAACACATGTCTGACTGCTGTAGATGAACACACACACACGTCTCTTCATATATTAATGTGTGTGTTTCTGTGTTGCAGGTGACGCTGTGGAAGGAGTCGATGGACGGGCAGTGGGCCTGCATCAGTGACGTCAGCAAAGGACAAGGAGCCGTCTCCACCATCACAGACACACAGCAGAGCGAGCAGTGACACACACACACACACACACATTTATAACATGACCCCTGGCTCTACAAGGACGACCCGATCTTCAGAGATGATTTTAGCGTTAGTAATTAACACGCCGGACATTTCAACAGAACCTTGTCCACACTGATTGAGATTCTTGTGTAATGTTTTTGTTTGATGATTACATTTGTCCGGGATAAATGTTCCCAAAGTGTATCAGAGGCGGAGGAAACGTGTATTGAATGGTGCAGAATCTCTGCAAATGCAAACCTTATAATAACGGTGGAGTGTTTCCACATGTACATTAATGCTGGTCCAGATTGAAATCCATCCCTTGATGCTTTTCCCCCTGAAAACATTCCTCCTCCTCCAGCGGAGAACAGCAGGAAGCCTCCATCTGCAACTATAAAACATCATCTCCATTTTATTTAATGCATTTGTTTCAAAACTAGTTTCCTCATGTTCTCAGAGTGAGACAAATCAGAGAAAGAAATACGTCCTACACTTCATCCAGTACGTTAATCAAGTAAATAGATAAATGATTTATTGATAAGTACACATTGTTTACCACTCAATACAAGAGGCTCAATAAATACAGAGATGTCTGTGTAATCAGAACATGCCTTATGTTTGGCAACCTGAATGACTCGCTGCCAACTCAACCGTGAATTAAGCATCAACAGTTGAGTGTTTTCTTCCAGTTGTGAGATCAGAAAACCCTGGATGTGTTTTTCATATTTGATGTAATTAAAAAACTATAATATTAAAATAATATCCTGTTTCGTTTGTTCTTTAAGGATTGATTCATTTACTACTGTCTCTCTCTGGTATGTATTTGTCTGAACTAGACTTATGTTATATCGGGGGGGTATATTCGGGGACAGAGCCTTCTCTGTGGCAGCCCCGAAGCTCTGGAACTCCCTCCCCCAAGAACTCCGTGAGTCTAAGTCCCTCACCCTGCCAGTCCCGCCTCAAAACTCACCTCTTCAACTCTGTATCCATAAGCCCCCCCCCCCTCTCAACCAACTTCCTCCTGACTGTTTTTTCTGTTTTTTTTTTG